TGAAATAAAATTCATTTAATTAATGTGTGCTTGCACACATAAATGAGCACATGAAGAAGATGAGGTTATGTATATTACTCACAAAGGAAGTATATTTATATATAATTTAAATAGAGAAATAAAGCATATTCTAAAGGAAGAAAGAATGGAATAATCACTTGAGTTTCTTCTTGAGAATAACTTATAGGGTTTGACATCATGAATTCTACTTCATAATATTGTAGTATTTTATTATTATCTATAGTCTCTGACTGTTGGACATTTATGTGCATTGATTGTATAACAAAAGAAATTTTTTAGACACATAAGGTAATCAGATGATATGCGCATAAATTTTAAATAAAATTCACTTAATTAGGTCAGACATGCATACGAAACTGTGAACATTTCAAAGACAAGGCTTTGCATGAATTGTTCATATATAATGTAAATGGGGAGAAAAATATTTTTAATGAACAAGAATAAGGGACAATAAATAAAGTTGTATATCTAGTTAACTTTATGTTAACAAATAAATTATTCAACTATAAACAGTTAATACTTAGCAAATAAAAGTACATGGTAAGTGGTGCCTATAATAATAATTGAAAAACAAAAATTCTAGGTTAAAATTTGATAAGCTTCAATAAATAAAATTCTCAATCTTCATTTTGAAAATACAGAATTATTAGTATAAGAAAATATCCCTTGAGAGTTTATTGGAAATGTACTAGAAATATTGCTTAAATGGTAAAATATGATTAAAAAAAAGTTAGATCAAGATTGTTTAGATATATGTTTATCAAGGAATTAACATATAGGTAATAATTTATTTGGAAATTCTTTATATCGAACAATTTTTTTTCAAGATTGATTTCTTTATCTTTTTTTATTTTGAAGGATGATAATTTATCATTAATTTAGCATTTTACACCAATTTATTTGATATTGGAGATTTAAATTTTTTTAGTGAAAGTGCTAATGCATATAATGCTTGATATAAATTATGGATGGAATAATTAGCCACTCCTAGTTTGCATTTAAGAATAGCATAAAACTTTTAAATTCTCTTCCAATAGAAAATAAGTTAATTGAATTGATTATTAAAGAAAAAAGTGTAGAGATGTCCTTTTTAAAATTTACTTTCAGAAAACTTTTAAATTAATTAGCCTATCTTACAATCCATATAAGAAAGAATTAGATTTAATTAAAATGAATTTGTTAAATTATGCATTGAATGCTTTTATTTCTCTATTTTAATTGTAAATTGTTCTCTTATTAATAAGTTTTTCAAGAAAAGAGACACTATAATGGGGGATCAAATGTCTATTTCTTTTCAATCTTGTGGTTGAAGGTTTAAGAGTTAGAGATAGTGCCTTACATATTTTTTTCCTCTAGATCTAGGGTGATTCTTTAGCTTGTTAAGAGAACACTTTTTCTTTCCTAAGCTAATATACACAAAGATCATTAATTTAAAAAAGTTTTTGTGCTTTCAATTGTATCCTTAAGATAATTTGACTTACGTAACTTTCTGCATTAAAATTGTAACACCCCAAGTGTATTATTATTTTTATTTATTTATTTTATTTATTTTATTTTGTAATTATTGGAATTTTATTTGATTTTAATTTAATTTAATTTAAATTGATTTAATTTAATAAAAATAAAAATAATAATAATGATAAAATTAGGTAAAAATATTATTTAGATTTAATTGAAATTGATTTTGGGAAAAAAAATGTGAAAATTTGGATTCTGTTGGTGTTTTTGAAAAGAAAATCGGAAACCGGGGGTCAAAACGCAATTTAGAAAAATTGTGCCACGTCAGCACTACGTCA